GGCCGATGTAGCTAGCATGACAAAAAAAAGCAAAGAGAACTTATTAAAACTGGAGTTGAATAATAAATAATGGGTTAGGGTCAGTGGTCCCTATGTGACACAGTTTGTTGCACCATTGCCTTGCAATAAGGAGGTCCTTGGTTCAATAGCCTAAGGTCTTTCTGCTTGGATATACAAGTTCTTTCTCTGCATGTATAGGTTTATAAATTCTGTCAAACAATTATGTTGAAATAATAGAAATAATAGCCTAATGTATAGCTCTAAACTTGAAGAGAGTTTAAAAAAAAAATCTCTCACTTTGGGATTCAATAACAAACACAGGGGGGATTTACCATTAGGCAATGCTAGGCAGTTGCCTAGGGCCCCAAGTTCCTCGGGGCCCCATAAAACTGTGTTTACATGTATGGTTATAAAAATATTCCTTGTTTGTGCAAATTAATTATGTTTTTGATAAAACTCCTTTCGCTAGAATGCCATTCAGAAAATTATCTTGTGACTTTTTCTGCTACTGGAGATCTAACATATAAAAAGAGCGAACTCTGCTCTCCAGAGCAAGTAGATCCGTAACCCCGCCTCCTGCTCTCCTCTATCTCGTCTGCTGTCATGATTCATGCCGTCGCCTTTTTGGAAACACAGGAATCAGATAAGTGAGCTTAGTGCTTGGAAACCACTTTCATTCATTTTGAGACAGCATTAAAAGTCAGCTGAGTACAAAACATAGTCAGGAATACAACAAGAAAAGAGAGACAAAATGTAGAACAAATAATGTTTTTCTATTCTATTAAAATTTCTGTATCTGTATATTGGGTCTGTTTTATGTTTTCTTCTCAATTCAGAGTGCCCCATGCCTGGCTTTGCCTAGGGCCCCAAATGTCCTAAATCGGCCCCTAGGCAAACATAATGTTGGTAATTAACTGATCTGAAACAGATACAGATCTGAAATGTCAAAGCTTATTAAATGTTAGACAAACAACAAAATATCATAAATATCTGCTATTAACTGCAATTTAAGTAGTGAGCATGAACTAACTCAACTGGATCCATGTTGTTCAGTTTAAACACGGGAAAAGGTGACATACAGTGGGAAGAAGCATTACCATACAGATCACCCTCTCCACACAAAAAATGTTTAAATATAAAACGCATGCTTAATAACACAACAATAATACAAAATCTAGTCTGAGTTCTGACTGGAATGTAAAAAAGACATGTTCCTGTTAACTTTTTATTTCTTTGTTGTGTAATCTACACACTGACTCCATATTTCTGTTATCCTAAGCTTTATATGTTGCTTGTTGTCTGTTTATCTCTGTATATCACTTGTAGATTATTCCCTCTTGTATTAGACCAGTCCATCAGTGCTTTTAAATTACATAATAATAATGAATTATTTAATCTAATAGTTGATATTTAGTCTTAATCATTTTTAATGGTGCCTATTTAGGGCGATGGATACACTGGATTGTGACCTTCAGCGCAAAAAAGTAACAGTATCGATGTAAGCTCGATCAACTCGATTACTACTGTCTGCCCATTGACACAAACAATACGTCACATCCACCCGGAAGCGGGGTCACAGCTTGGAGGAGCTCTAAAGTTAAAGTGTTTAGCTCGGCTTTTTCATATATCTCTATAGATTTTTTTTGTTGTTTAACATAAAACGCAAAAATGTCGACAGCTATGAATTTCAGCACGAAGAGTTTTAAACCTCGAGCTCCGGATAAAGGCTCCTTCCCTCTGGATCATTTCGGTAGGAGAGTGTTACGTCATATTTGTTTGGTTAAATAACATTTTACTGTCACTTTTTCCACTAGTGCGCTTTTATTGTCACTATTCCAGACATAGTTCCCGATATCCTTTAAATCTTTTATTCCTTTAAATATTTTATAAAAGTAGCCACAATAAAAAACGACATAAATTAACCCCTAACCACATTTTTATCATAATTTTTATAAAAAAATAAAAAATAAATGTTTTAAAATCTTTTACTAAGTTATCCCACAATCAGAACTGGAGACAGGGAGAGTCAGTGGTGTATAATGTGACCAATGCTGACATTTCTCTCTGTAAATAGTATTTAGAGACCATGTGTGTTTTTGTTAAGTAGAAGGTGACTATAGATGAGTAACAAAGATAAGCTGCTGGTAATAATCCTGAACAAACAATCTCTGCAGCTGTGGGGTTATTTTCTCCACCTCAGACAGATTTCCTGGCTTGAATTAAAGCAAAAGTCCGCTCATATTCAGAATTCAAACTTCTGAAAATACTTTAAATATGAAATTATTACATATTACAACAAATGATCAGAGTTTTTAATTAAAAGTAATATCATTTTAATGTGATTTACTGCAGGCGTCCATGTTTTTCAAAGAACACTACTGCCATCTACTGGTTTGTGACGTCACGGTGCGGTATCGGCTGTTGATAAAGTCCCAGTGCTGTATCTGGTGTTTGTCACAACGCGCTATTATCCAAGTCATCTTGGAGACATTCTCCTTCCAAATGTTGGCTACATAATACGTGTCTTTTATCCTCCCTTTATGAGTTGGCAATCCAACGACGAAGCCGTCGGGAAAGGCGAAATAAAAAAAAAATATATAAATTTTTAATTTTTACCCGATATATTCCAACATCCGACTGCCATGCATGTGGGCAGCTTCAGTTTCACTATAGCTCTTGTGAATTTAATGGTGAAGTCCTCTGGAAATCTTAAATAATTGTTGTAAATAAGGGTTGCTTGTAAAGCGGGGAGAATGGCGCTAGGCTCACCGCACCGTGACGTCACTGCCGGAAGATGTTAGAAGTGAGGTGTCACTATATTTGGGCAAAAATGGCCGCTCCTGAATTCAGTGATCACAACAAAAATGATTGTTTTATTTTATTTTTTTTTACTTATTAACGCCAAATTCATTAAATCACTCTGAATGTATTTGTTCTAGGTATAGATAATGATCCATTTATTATTCCTGGTTGACCAGACTTTTCCTTTACGAGGAAGTCGAGTCCTGGATCTGTTTTGATCGGTTTTAAGTGTTTGGGAGGGCGATCACCTTTAATAAGGAATAAGAAAAATATCCAATAGCTATGATGGATGATTCTGATCAGAGCACTCTCTAGTGTAAGGATGGGTGAAGCCCAGACCATGATCTGTGAATAGTCTGTGGCTTGACCTATAAATCCTAAAAACTCTCTGCAATCTATCTGCTCAGACTCTTTCATATAAAACTGTAACTATATTAAACCGTATCAAAAAACAACTTATGTTTGAAAGCTAACTAAATGTAACAAAGAAGAACGAATGCTAATGCAACAAACTGTACAGTGTGCCCAGTGTCCTTTATTTCCACTATCAGTTACTTTATAAACTGTTTCTGAAACCATCTAGGTATTGTTTTCTGCAAAAATAGATTTTAGTGCCAAAGTGAAAACAACACCTTGCTTTACAGTAGGGGGATGTCAGTCATGTGATCACTAGTGCCTGTTTTTCCCAGATATGATGTTTGGAGTTCAGGCCATAGATCTACCTTAAGGTCTGTGGGGGTTGGCAGTGGCTGTTCTTCTATTTCTATGTGAATATGGAGGCATGTCTCCCTGACTGAGTGGTTTCTGGTCGCCCGACTGATCAAGGCCCTTCTTTCCTCCATGCTGCGTTTAGTCAGAGGCCAGATTTAGAAAGGATCCTGCTCCAACTGCTGCACATCTCCAGATAAAGAGACTGCATACTTTTACAAAACTGTTTTAATAGGTTTTTGAACTTTTTTTTGACACAATAGTGCGGTTTTCACTCTGAAATGCACTATTTGGACAAGTTGTATTTATTTATTTGCTTAGAAATGCTTTTTTGTTCAGGAAACTTAATTGACCGCATTTTTGACTCTAGTTCAAATGCTCAATGTTCAATAGCAAATGCTTTAAAAACTAAGTAACCAATATGTTTGTTTCAGAAAAAGTCCTAAATCATGTTTTCACTTTGGTACAGTGAACAATTTTGTATATATTAACAAAAGAAAGGAGACCACACCCAGAGCAGCTTCCACATTAGTCTGCAATGCAGCAAAATGTGCTGCCCTGTAACCCAGTGAAAAAATAAGAAAACAATGATAAAGATTATTCAATTAGGATTTTTCTCTGCACTATTCATAAGTATATACATCTTGGCTCCAGGGTTTCCTTGTTTCATTAGACCTGTCTTGTCCGTAGTCAGTTGTTGTGGGACTTAACTGCTTCATACCAAAAACATACTTCTAGTTTGAATGTATGGATCCATGAACTGGCTGCAAATGTCTCTTCCTTTATGTTTTGTGGCAAACCAGCTTTAAGTGTATAACTGCTTTGCAGGAGGCTGGAGGAAGAATGTTAGGGTCTGGTTTAATATTGCAAGACCAAAAAAATATATATCATGAGATTATGAAATCAGTTTTTTATTGCAGTTATTCCAAAACAGTTAAAAAACAATCCACTGGACTTAGTTTCCAAGTTTGAAGAGATTTAGCTTCACATCCAGGAAGCTTTTTCTATTCAAAATACTTTATTGCAGTTATTTTGCCATGCAATTTATTGTCCAGCCCTAATTACCTGGCAGGATGTTGTGTTCTGCAGATTTTCTGTAGCCACTCCTCTGGTCTTCCAAATGTTTTGCAAAGTTTAACTATTAAATATAACTAATAGCTTTGGAGAGATAAAATGTACCAGTACTCAGAACCATACTCATTGTCTTCCCCTTTATCAGGGACCGGGTTAAAGGGGCAGAAACTCTCAGACTTACCTCTCGACAAACGTCTCCTTCAGCCCTATTGGGGAAACCATGAGGCCAGCTGACAGTCATAGTCCTTCTGGCGCATCCTGGGTTTTAATACCCCGGGCCTTTTTCAGTTGGATAGGCTCAGAATACCTCCTTAGGGAGGCAACCAGGGGGCATTGGAAAAAGATTTGAGGGCCCTGTCACAGCTTGTCGATTTAGACAGCGTAGGCCTGACGTCCTAGAATCTCCTAAAACGCTGATATACGCTGAACTTTATATGTATTTTTTCAATTTTGGGAGTATGCATAGCATGTTCATAACAAGTCCTGAACTTATGTCTAATGAAGCCTAACGTATGCATAATGCACTGCAGTGTGAGCATAGTTTCATATGCATCAGTTGAAGCTGCTGCCCTCAGGTGCAGCGATGAGCCCAGAGGCGCCTGGTCTGCATAAAAAGCTGTCTTTGATCGCGGTATTAACCTAGCTGCTGTTTACCTCCCCCCACAAAAATAAAATAATGGATAAAAAAAAACAAAAAGGTTTGCAGTCGCAGCAGATTCAGCATCATGTCTGCTAGGAAGTTTGTTGGTTGTGGGCGTGAACGCAGGGAGGATCTATCACACTCACCTTCTCGCTCACCCTATCATTAGGATGCAGTCTGGAGGAGAACTGACAGTTTCCTCCTGTGAACCAACTTTTATATCAAAGTGCTGCCAATACACCATTATACGGTATCTGTACGTTAGACACACGTTCATCTGGAACACGTCAGATACATTGATATCCGTTGGAGATAAGTTCTTGATAAGTTACTCACAAGTTAGGCACAACATTTTGGATAAACTAGACACCACGACTTATGAGTAACTTACACTTAACTATGGGTGGAACGGTTCACAAAATCCACGGTTTCGTGGTCACGGTTTTCGGTTCGGTATATGTTGATTGTTAGGAAAATCTATGATGTCTTGTATAGTACAACACACGTGGAGAAATTGATCAAATTTCTAAGCACCCGTGAGCATCTTGCAGAGGTTGTAAAGCTGGTCCGCTGTTCCAGAGCCGGCACTAAAGCCCCACTGCTCCTCCTGAAGCTGAGGTTCAACAATCGTCTGGACTTTCCTCTCCAGCACACTGATATAGGCCTTTTAAGGCAGGCAGAGAATGTGACCCCCCTATAGTTGAAGCACACCCTCTGATTCCCTTTCCTCATGAAGGGGAACCCCTATCCCAGTCTGCCAGAATAGGTGAACTATCCTTGACCTCCATGCACCCAAAAAGCCCAAAAACATTCAGAGCTCTGACCTACTCAGGGCTCTAATCTAATGGAAGAGTTATTTCCTAACCGTTTGTTGGTCACAGTATTTCAGTTTAAGATTTTTTTCAAACATTTTTTTATTTTTTTTTTAAATGAAATAAAATTTTAACAGATAATAAATTGGGATTTTTTTTATTTCTAAATTCTCTATAATGTTTAGTATCTCAGCCCAGTTTAGACGCCTCAAGTTGCGTTTCAGATTAAAGCCTCTGTCACACCTTGACGATTTATACCAGCATATGCCTGGTGTACGAAAAATCTGGCAAAAACTCTGCATATGTTGTAAAAGTTATGGGCATGTTCTGTATAAATTATGAGCGTGCTGTAGCATGCTGGCAGACATCGACATCCGGCGAGTACATTGAGACATATGCCAGCATATGCCACAAGATGGGCATAAGTAACAGGTAAGTTATGTGACCGTTGACATACGTTAAATTACTATTATTATAAGTTACTCATAAGTCGTAGCGTCTAGCTTATCCAAAACCTATGTGTAATTTGTGCATAACTTCTGCGTAACTTTTTAAGAACTTATCTCCAACGCATATCAACGTATCTGACGTGTTCCAGACGAGCGCTGAATGTGTTTCTAACACAGCTACTGTATAATGGCAGCGTTTTGGTATTAATGGGGTTCACAGAAGGAAACCATCAGTAGTCCAGACTTCATCCCCATCATAGGGTGAGCGAGGAGGTGAGTGTGATTGATTCTACCTACGTTCACGTCCACAGCCAGCAAACTTCCTAGGAGACTTGATGCTGAATTTGCTGCGACTGAAAACCTTCTTCCTTTCTAATTCTTTTTTCATTTTATTCATTCTTTTTTTTTTTTTGGCAGATGGTAAAAGGCAGCTCGGTTAATAATGCAATCAAAGACATCCTTTTATGCAGACGGGGAGCATCGCTGCTCCTGAGGGGAGCAGCTTTAACTGATGCTTTGTATTGCCTCTGCTTTATGCCTAAGTTAGGCCGCCATTGGACATCAGCTATGGACTCGTTATGAATGCGCTACATATACGCCAACTATACGCCCAAAGTAAAAAAAAAAAAGATCATAGAAATTTCACTGTATGCCAGCGTTTTAGGAGATTCTGGGACATCAGGCTTACGCTGTCTAAATCGGTAAGGAGTGACAGGCCCCTTTAAGCCTGATGAGAGGTTTGAAGAAGCCCTTTATTCCAACTGTCATCTTCAGGCTAACTTCAGTCTGCCTAAAATGGGAGATGTCACCAAGGAGGAAAAAAACTGAAGAAAGTGACACTAACTTTACCAAACCTACAAACTAATCATTTAAAAAAATATTGCATTTAAATTCTTAATTTATCATTTTTCAAAGTCAATGTAAGCGCCATTTTGTGAAATTTGGACATTAATAATTGATTTTAGTATGTATTAATGTGTTATGTTTTGTTCTTTATTAAGCAGGTTAAAAACAAGCACATTTGTTTTGTTATTGCCGATTTCGAGATATTCTGTGAAGGAAATGTTACATGCATATTCACTGCGATGTTGTATTGCCCATGAAGGAGAAATTGGTACGTGTGGTGAAGAGGAGAAATAAAATGATGGCCGACGGAGCAACACGGTAGTTTTGCCGTGATGCGACCGTGCTGCGACATATGGTTGTTAAACGCGTAAAACAGACTCTGTGTCGGTCATTTCAACAAAGAGGTTAAATAAGAAATTGAGAAGAAACAACGAATGTAAAGATTAACCTCTACAGTCAAGTTAAAGTCAGTTTTCAATCCACAAAGCAGTTTCTTGAAATTATTATTATTATTAAGACATGCTGTTAAATATATTTATAGATGAAAGTACAGAAGAAAAAAGCAAATTGCCTAATCTGTGTGCTTTGATGCAGCCTTGCATTGTGTCCTGTGCCTCAGCCTTGGAGCACTGTGGCCCAGTTAAACACGATAAGGACTGAATTTCCATCCATCTCCATTTTAAGATGTAGCTTTGTGTCTGGACTTTCAATCTGATTTATGGTGAATTCTTCTTTCAGGAGAGTGTAAAGCCTTTAAAGAGAAGTTCATGCAGTGCCTGAGGGATAACAGCTTTGACAACTCCAAGTGCCGGATCCAATCCAAAGAATACCTGGAATGCAGGATGGATCAGTAAGGAAGCCCATTTAAGATGTTGCTTAAAGATTTTGTTTATTTAGCACAGAATGAGCAGTTTTTCTGTCTTCTTGTGTTTTCTAGTCAACTCATGGCCAGGGAGCCTCTGCAGAAACTGGGATTTAAAGACTTGATGGATCCTCCGCCCAGTCAGGAGGAATCCACACCCCGATGAGGTGGACTTTCTGAAGTCAACAACCAGGAGTCTCCATGAACTTAAAATATTCAACCTGATGTTGTGAATAAGAACACAGCCAGCGTCCAGAGTGAGCATAAAACAGAGAGACTTCAAGGACTGAGCTTGCTGACCCTGCAGGAGGACGGCTGGTTGTAATATATACCTTTCAGACTGTGAAATGAAGTGCTGCATAATAACAAAGTGCTTAAAATAAAAGGTGTGTTTGACTTTTAAAATAAACGTTGAACTGAAAGCACTACAGCAGGTTTAATGAGGGTTAATGACCCTAATGAGGGTTGTCAGTGTGATTTATTGTTATAGAGCCTTTAAAGCTATGAAAAAAAACCCTGAGATGAATGAAACTGCTTTACACTAATTAACAATAACAAATGTTAATTAAAACTGCAACAACACCACAAACAACAAAGAGAGTCAATTCCACCATGTGGATATAATGGAGGAAATAAACCAAAATAAAACTAAGATAAGATGTTTCCATCTGAGGTAACCCAACATCCGGCACAGTAAAGTGAGCATTTAAGGAAAAATATGATCTTATAAAATAGGACAGCAGGCCAGTTTTGGTTTGATGTCCTCCTGCTTCCAAAGAGAGTTCAGTTACAGTTGGTTTGTTCCAGGACCAAAAGATTAATCAATTAGAGCCTGTAAGGATTTTTAAAACTTATTTTATTATGTGGAAATAAGTTAAAGTACTGAATAGCAGAAGTCTTTAGATTCAATGGAAGATGGAACACAGCTGGGACATTTTTTTTTCTTCATTTACAGATGTGTCTTCACTGCCCCTAAAATGTACAGGTAGAGAATAAGCAGCATAGCTGAAAACAGTCCATACACAGGAGAGAATACAGATTGTTTATATAAATATTCAGAAGTATATGAGGTGGATGCATTTAGCTTCATACTGTCCTTTCTTATATTATGTTCTTATAGTGTTTTAGTGGAATGGGGGTGGGGTGGCGGCCTTGTGGTTAGGGCATAGGGCTTGGAATCCTGAGGTTGGGAGTTTGAAACCCAATCCCACAGACTGCCACTCTGGCTCTCTGAGCAAGACCCTTAACCCCTGATTGCTCCCTGGGCGCTCCATGATGGCAGCCCACTGCTTCCCAAAGGGGATGGGTTAAATGCAGAGAGTTAATTTCTCCATTGTGAGATCAATAAAGTTTAATTAATTTTGTTCTTTATTTTTTTTTACCTGTTAAATCTACGCTTCCAAAAACAGTTTAGTTGTAGCTGATTTAATGAAAGGCAATAGGCTGCTTCTACTTATCTGTCAGGGTCATGCTGGTCCTACCTGCAGCAGTCTGAAGGCGAAAGGTGGGGTAAACCCTGGATCACCAGTCTGTTGCATGGCAACACAGAGTCATACAACCTTAGAAGATTTTCAAGACTAGTAAAGAAAAAATGTTTTCCTTTTCTGGAAAAGACTTAAACACAGCTGAGAGCAGAAATCTTTGGATTGACTGGATCTTAGAAAAAGTTGATTTTTGGTTGGTTTGATTCATATTGTTTGTAGGTCATGGAGTTAGACACTGAGCTTGGTGTTTTACTTCTGATTATGGAGAACTACATTGAAGGAACACAGGTGTTGCTAGGGGGCGGTTCTTGTCTTCAACAGTAATTTCTTCCACCTACTGAATCGTTGGGTTATTTAACGTAATCCCTGTTCTTTGATAACAGAGTGAGGTGTTTCACAATGGGAATCACCTTGGCGTGACCAGCTATGGAAGCTCCAATGACATCACGTCTGTCTGTGACAGACAGATTGAGCTGTGTCCGTGGCTCCACCCACATACCAAACTGTATCACAGCCAACCTATGCCTCAACTCATTCTAGGCAGGTTTCTTTCCGTGCCCATGCAAGAAGGGATGAGTGAAACGCCTCACTCTGTTATCAAAGAACAAGGGATTACGTTAAGTAACGCAACCTTCTTTTTCTAACTTCGCTCTGTTTCACTATGCGAGATACAGTATGACTCACTCCCAGATTGCATGATGACCCCGAAGCCATACATGATAGGAATCACAATCCAGGCCTCAGGTAGACCAGGATGTCCCTACTCCAAGCACTGTGTGCGCTAGCGATGGCCGGGCCACATCCAGCCTGTAAAACCTCACAAATGTGTGCAGTGTAGCCCAACTGGCTGCAGCACAGATGTCCTGAACTGACGCACCACGGAACTAAGCCCAAGAGGTGGCCAAGCCCCTGGTAGAATGGGCCCTCACCCCTTTAGGGGGCTCTGATCCTGCACACCTATATGTCAGAGATATAGCCTCCACAATCCAGTGTGCTAATTCAATTCAGTTTATTTATATATCGCCAATTCACAACACAAGTCATCTCAAGGCACTTTACATATCAACCAGATCATACAGTCAAATTGATTTAAAGTTTTCTATCTAAGGAAAACCAGTTGATTGCATCGACTCTAACACAATCCATCACACTAAGCATGCTTGTTGCGACAGTGGAGAGGAAAAACTCCCTTTTAACAGGAAGAAACCTCCAGCAGAACCAGATCACTTGGGACAAACTCTTTAAATAACACTTCATAATGTATTTGTACTAAATAACTATGAGACATGACATCAGATTTTGATAGAAATTGTAATCTTATTCAGATCAGAGAAGTTGTTTAGAGTTACAGAAGGCAGCTGCTCACTTCTCGTGAAGCGGCCCCGATAAACAGTTAAAGAAGCATTTTATACATCTCCAGTGTTGCACATCATCACATCATTACATCATACATGTTAGGAGATAAGGAGACGTCCATGGCTCCAGCTTATCAATGTATTACACTTTGTTTTTAGATCAAGGACATCATTCTCATTCCTTTCACAAAATCTCTGCACGTACAGAATGATGATTATAACGGTATATCTGGAAGGAGGAAATGTCCTGCTTAGATAAACTACTGGGGAAAACATTAGTTTTGAAACACAACAGGCAGGTAATATTAGGTGTAATAAACTTACACATCATCTAGATAATTATGCTAGATCAAGAACAGAGGTTCATCAATGTTATTCTCACTTTTTGGATATCAAAAATCAAAACATAACAAATAGACTAACTTGAAATTAAAGGTTATATTTAACCAAACAATTTGAGATTTTTATAACATTCTCTATTCCTCCAAATGCTCAAAAAGAAAAAGGTAGTGCTCTGAGTCTTCTTGACTCCTCAAACATTATAAAGTTATATCTGAGGATCATAACAAAATTTGTGATGCAAATTCAACCCTAGAGAAAATAGACTTAGAAACAAGAAGTCGCCTGGTTCTGATGGGCTGTAAATAGTAATTTAATTTGAATACATTTCCTGAAAGTGTTGATGAACAAGAATTACCACCTACTAACAAAACTGCAAAAGACAACTCATAACGTATATATATGTAATAACATGACAATAGAATTATAAGGACCGTCTGTGCTATCGCTGATGAATCTCTCAGCTTCATGTACTGGAGACATCACAAATTACTTTATATCAGTCTTGGACTTATTAGACGCCTCAGAACTGAACAATGTGAATAACTGTTTTGTTTTTGTATTTTAAAGGCATCTGACTATCAAGCCTTAGAAAATTTGAAATGGTGGCAATTTTCTATTAAATCTATCAAAATTTGTACAAGAACAATAAATCTAAATAAAAATAGCTTCCCATCTTGACTTGGACTAAAACTCATCTTTATATCATTCTTGTTTAATCCTAAGTATCTTTATTCGATATCAGCACAAAAATACATATAATAAAAGATAGAATATAAGTTTTCAACCTCTCAGTGCATAAAAAAAACTACATTATACCAAAGCTTTAAAGTTTTTCTTTGAGAGTCAGGATATCATTATCCGAAGCAGAAGATATATTCACTTTCATATTGTATTTGTGTCGATTGTTAATACCTTTTTTCTTGTAAAACCACTGATAAATTTTAAAACATATTACATCAGAAATGTGCTCGTAAAGCCAACTTAATACTTTTTCTAGCCACCAACTATATCGTGGAACCCTCAGAGAATTCTTCCTTGTTTGTAGATACTTTACCAAAAAAAGATCTAATGCTCTTTACAGAGTTAATTCATTCTATGAAGGACGAAGCTTTAAAAGACCATTCCTCCTCATTTGATACGGCTGTGAGCAAAATTTGTTTTTATTCTGAACCCTCCACCAGGAACAAATCTGTAAGGTCTCTCTTTTTTTAGAAGCAGATTGCTACTAGGACTTCCATAACCCACAACTGGACACAGTTTGACACTGACATCCAATGAGCCCATCATGGACTTTGTCATTAAAACACTCACAAACAGTCCTTGATATGCGTTCTCTAAAAATCACATTGCATTGTTACCCAGTGATGTGGTAAACTCTTCTTTTCTTTTTCGGCTGAGGATTCCCAGTCATCAAGGCCATAGTCATTCCAAAAAAACAATCAACTGGACTTTGTTTCCAAGTTTTAAGACGTTTCGCTTCTCATAGCATACTCACGTTTTGGACAAAGAAAAGAAGTGGTTTGGGAGGGGCGTGAAGGAAGCCATTTATTTCAAGAAAGAATGAACAACCTTAAACAGAGGGGGTGGACTCGGATTTCAGCTTTCAAAAACCTACAATGCAGCAATTGAGTTGATTTCTTCCCGCTATCATCACAGCTCCAATCCCTTTACAGGGAAATAGAAGAACTGGCCTATTCAGCCAGGCCAACAATTCCATTTAACAACCCCCCTTTCAGAGACACAGACAGGTATGGGACATTGCAGGCTAACAAAGAAGCCAAACGCCCCCCCAAAAGGGATTGACCCTTTTGTCTGATTGTATTTTCATGTTTATAAACAAAAACAAGGCTTTATTGGCCGTGAAGTCTATGCTATTTCTAACATTTGGAATTGAAAAAGCTTCCTGGATGGGAAGCGAAATGTCTTTTAAAAAGTCCAGTGGATTGTTTTTTTTAACCTTTTTGGAATCTTCTTGTCTTGCTTTGCTTTCCTGTCTCCTGATCATTTGAGCTTTTCTTTCCATAACCCAGGGACTGTCTTTATCCTTTGAATTTTGTTGAGTCTTGTGAATATTGGATATGTTCTCTTTTAATGTAATTTCATCTAGCCTTGCTTATCATGTGCTGTTACCTGATGAAGGCATTAAAGCTGTCTTGTTCAACTGATGCCCTTACTTAACTACAATCTGATTAACAAAAAAAAAATCTCTATATTACTCTATTTTTTGCATCCCAAGGTTAAGTTCCTCATTTTTTCCTTTGTATCTCAGATGGAGGCCTGAGTCACAGCAGTCTTATAACAGAAGAGTTTTTCTCCGAATCATTAAATAAATGTCATTTGGACACGGAACTTGGAGAATGTTTTTTTCCCTGCATCATTTCTGCAAAACGTCATTGTCATTTTTTACCCAGAGGGTATATACAAAATGTAATTTCGTTCCGTACAGCTCTCAAGACATTTCCGTTTCTTAAAGTGCATCAGTGGAAAAAATGTAAACATGGTGATCAAATGTAAACATAAGACTGGCAAGAATATAGGCTGCAGCCCCTTTTGTAATTTGAACAACAAAATCTCTTTTTCTGGAGATGCCCTTATAGTGATGTTCCGTAAAAACAAATATATTTAGTCTAATAGCCTTTGCAGCTTTTCTCTTTTACATACGGATGTACTCTTTGGTTTCGACTGCACCTCTCAAAATCATTATTTTTTATCTATTAAATTATATCAATAAATGCATTTTTGTTTTGTTTCATAGCCTATGGACATGTAACACTTGCAATAAAACATAT